ATTTTCCAGTCACACTTATCCCAGCTGGGGTCGCGAGGGGTGCTGGTTGCCAGTCCATCACATATATATTATACACTTCACTAGAAAATGACTCTCATCAAATCAGATTTAATTAACAGATTTAAAATGTAAAATCCAAAACTTTGCTTTTTTTCAGAGCTTATGTTTGATGGTGAATTAGCCAAACAAAAACTGGAGTAACTCAATTAAGTTGGTTTGCTACTTGCTGCTTTTATCAAAGAGAATATTTTGGATGTTGATATAAATGAGACTTATCACCAGATGGAGAAATATGCATCACTTGATTGTTTACATAAGGTTGAGGTAAATATGTCTGTAGAAGAAGTTATGGGAAATATTATTAGACCACTCTTCATTTTTTTTATCATTTTAATGCCCGGCGCAACATGGGAACACCTGTTTCAATACATTTATTTATAACACCAAAAAGTGCTCGTAAGGGTGTAATTGAAGAGCTGATATCTATAACATAAACATCACTAATGTTTGTCCACCATTGTATTGCATTGTACCACCATTCCATTTGTTCTTTATTCCATAACGATTGTTTCCAAAAACCAGGCTAGTCTCATATCGTATCCCTGAAAGTAGAGATAATGTATACATTTCACTTTTTTTTTTTTGTTTGGAAACTCATCATCTCTGTCATCTTAATACAGTTGAACTGTTTACCCAAATGCATCACATTCTGGATGAAAACAAAAACAGGATGTGACTCATCGGTGCAATGATGAGGAGCATTTAAATTTAGTCAGAGTTTATGTGGATCGTGTGGATAAGCCAGTCATCTTGTTATCATTTTGCATTTTATTGCAGCATTAAGATGAGAGAAAATGAATTCCCCGTCCAGCAGAAGACTTAGAGCCAGCTCCAAAATTAGATTAATTATCCATGCCATGCCTTGGCATAGGGGGTCTAAACCTGTATGAGTCACTGTCGTCCGTGATGTTGAAGGATATTAGATTTAAGTGGCAATGAAAGGAGAGGCTTCCCCCTCGTTAATACGAATTATAAGCTGTGCCTATAATATCTAGAGGTAGAAATGGCAGAGGAGGAAATTGCCATGAAAAGTGATAACTGGATCCTTGAACTGAACCTCATGCTATAAAATGAAGTTATACCTGATAAAAACAGGTCAGTTTTAGGGGAAAGTCTGTCGTAGAACATGTCATTTAAGTTGTTTAATAACTGAGAGAGTTTCAAGGTGGAGTAACCCTGAGCTTCAAGCTCCTGTCATTAGAACAGCTAATTGACACAAATTGAAGAATCCTCCTTAAACTCCCTGCCTCTCCTTGTTGATAAAACCCCTATTGAAGTAGATTAACAGTCCAAATCAATACTGCAGCCAGGACTCACTTGCCAGTCTACTTTCCACAAAGACCCACTATGTAATATGTATAGCATCCCCAACAAATGGCTCAACATCTACCTCTGTGGAGACTTTATTGATTTCATGCTTTCTTCCAGGTCCGGCCCACGCTGAAGGGACGTTTATTCAGCTGACAGCACCTAAAAATACCTCAGGGTTTATTCCTCCTGCTTTGACCAATAAATGTTTTCACCCAATGAGTTGTCAGGAAAACCGTTTGTGACAAAAGCTGGAATATGTATTGGGAGGACAGTCATGGGTTTATCCTGAACAAAATCTGAATGTTAAGCTAATTTCTGAGAGACAATATCCCAGCAGCTTTGAAAAGCCTTTAGTAGGTCATATTTTGAGGTTTATTACATAGTTATAAGAAAATCGTATACCTGTGGTCAGACAATCTACTAGGCTTTAGTTGATAACTGATCTGAAAATGTTAAAGCAGGATGAATGAACACTGACTTCTACCAGCTTGGTTGGAAAGCAGCTGGTCTCTTCTGGTCTTATATGCTTGCTTGTTTTGTTTTTTTTATGGCTAAAGGTATGCTGAGGGGAGTTCGCGATCCAAATTTGCTTTTAAAAAAATGCTAATATGGGATCTCATGTTGTCAAAGCCGCACTGAAGTGCAGAAAGAAAAATTACGGAACAGTTAATAATTCAAAGAACAAAATTTGACTCAGGGCAAAATAGTCTTTTAATACTTTTATTCAGTTTAGTTCTGCGGCACCAATTCACAGCACACGTCATCACAAGGCACTACAGTAAATTCAATTAAGTCATCCTAACAGGTTAAAAGTTTTCTTTGACTTTGCAGGAGTCGGTCCTCCTGGATGAACATGTGGAGACGGTAGACATTCACTTGCATTGTGTTATTGACTGCAGCAATTTCTCACACTGAGCATGCATGAGGCAGCAGTGGAGAGGAAAACTCCCTTATAACAGGAAAAAGCCTCAAACTGAACAACAAACAGATTGTGAGCTGCTTTCTACTGAGCAGCTCTTTAACGCAGACCAGCTGTTCAAGACAAAGCCAGTTACCAACTGTTAATATAACTGACAAGAAGAAAGCAGAAAAAAAGACTATAAAGATTACATGTGAAAAACCAAACAGATCATTCAGTCTGTTTCCTAACTGGGAGCCAAAGCGTTTTATTCCAAACACAGACTTTCACAGACTTCCACTACATGGAAGAGCCTCAATATTAACGTTAAGAGTAATATAGCTTAACGCCTTAATGATTACAATATATAAAAGATATTAACAACAATTCTCTAACAAAAAAGGAATAAGTTGTTTCCAGGGAATACCTTGAATAACATGTTACCGTATTCCCACTGCAAGATCTAGATTTGAAACGATCTTTTAAATTTCTGAGTGAAGGTGATAATAAAGTTTCTAACGGTGCATTCAGACCAAACGTGAAAAGAAACGACTGATGTGAGTGATTTACATTATCACTAAGTAGAAGCGCATTCAGAAGAGAGGGTGCATGAAAGGGACATTGAATAAACAACAGGCAAGTAGAGAGTTCATCCTATTTGATGATGCGGCGAGGTGCACTTTGCATTGTCGAATTATTCAAAATTATTAGCAAAATGTTAAGGGGGCAAGAAAAACATCTTCAGTGTAAAAGCACCATAACCATAAACTGAATGAAACTATTGAGGGAAATAAAGATTAGGGTTATGACAATGAGGATTTTTAACCTTAAAGAACTGGAACTCGTAAACGAATTAATCGGGGATCAATATGTTTCAATAGCTAGAAAGACATTTAACATAAACATATATGTTCTAAGCTGTCAGAATTTCTTTGGAAGAAGGATGTCATTTGTCACAACATTGAGTTCAGTTGTCCTGTCCAACTGTGCAAGCTGCACAGCAACTCTGTCTCTTTTTCCCTCTCTCTCTTCATCTCTCTCTCACAGCGTTAATGAAAGCCATCCAGTCTTGTTCATGACTCTGCTCTCTGTGAGCACATTTGATATCTAACCCAGGGATCCCTGAAGCCATTTA